TGGCAATGGTCATGCCCATGCCTGAACTAATCAATGGCTAAGCAGGCACATAGTTTATTGATTTGTCATGAGCTGTATTCTAGGAATAGTTTTCTACTAATACCATTTGGAAAGGGGATTATTTTCAAGCTTAAGAAAATTTAAAAGGGGCTGGGAAAGAAAATGCCTTTGGTCACACCTCCTTGCTTAGGGCAAACAGCCTTGGCCTAAAGATTAAACTCGGAATAAAGTGGCTATTTACCCCCACTTTAAGAGAAGAAAAGTTCTTATTGTTTGGTGCTCCATTTATAACAGAAAGCAGAGTAGTATTTTTATATTTAAATGTTAAAAACAAAAAACGAAAAAGAAAAATAGAGGGGGTGGTTACCAGAAGGAAGAATGAATTCTGAGATGGCAAAATGTTCATAGTAGTTCCCATCCTCTTCTTCTTTAAGCAATATGACTTGACAGTCTGTAAAGTTAGTCTGGGTACCTTTTTTTTTAATGTCATATTTTGGTTTTGAATTGATAAATCACATACTAAATTCTTTTTTAAATTTTTATTAAAATTTTTTAATTTTTTTAATAAAACAATTAAAAATTTTTTTTTATTTCCTGTTCACAAATTGGCATTGGCCTATAACATAAAACTGCTGACATTGCAGTCCTTTAAAAAAATTCCTTGGAGGTCATATAGTCCAGTTTCTTCCTTAAGTCCTTCCCCTGTACCGTCTCCCCCCCCTCAAATTACCACCACTGAGTCAACTGATTCATAGTAACTCTTTGTAGGGTTTCTAGGACTGTAACTCTATATGGGACCAGAGAACCTCATCTCTCTCTTGCTTGTGGCTGGTGGGTTTAAATGCTGACCTGGGGTATGCACTCCATTGCCTAACCCACAACAACACCAGGGCTCCTACTTTCTTTCTTACTCCTGAAAAAAAACCAAATCTAAAGTCTCACATCAAGTCATCGGCTGGGCTGGGACCCAAATCAGGGCTCTTTCTACTCTACAATTTTCATGAGGCAAATTGCCAGAGGTGGTGGTTTTCATTTTCCTGTCGTCCATAAACACTATTTTTCTTTGCCTTATATATAAGGGGCTCCAAAAAGTTTGTGGAAAGATGGGATTAAGAGATAGTGGAGTTTTCCACAAACTTGTTGAAGTCCCGTTATATGTAATATAAATTGAATAATAGCTCCAACAATCAAATTCACTGCTATGGAGTTGATTCTCTTAGTGACTCTATAGGATAGAATAGAACTGGCCCTTTGGGTTTCTGAGATTGTAAATTCTTCTTCTTTTTTTTAAATCACTTTATTGGGGACTCAACACAATTCATACAGACTGTAAATTCTTATAGAACAGCCAGCCTTTTCTTTCTCAGGGCAATGCTGGGTTCACACTATTGACCTTATAGTTAACACAATGTGTAGCCCACTGTGACACTGGGGCTCTTAAATAGTAACTAGATTTGTGAATACTTGTCTTCTGTGCCTCTCAAACTATTCTAGTATCCTATTTTTCTACAAATAATGTGCACATGTAATAATATGCATGTACAATAATGTGTACACAGCATATAGGAAACTAACATGAAAGAGTTGCCTAATTTGCAAAAAAGTATAATGTGTATATTTGCATAAAATACAGTACTCGCTTAAGTTCAACAGCATTTATTTAACATACTCAGTGTTTCTGAAGTGGGCTTTAATAGGAGCTAGTGCATTGGGCATAAAATGTTCTTACCAATGCATACATTTAGAATACTACTTAAATTTTGGTCAACTAAGCTTTCAGGAGCTTTTTTCATAACCATCATGTTTTACCAGTAGTAGTCCTGATATGGTGACTCACAGCTAACAACACAAAAATAACATTTAACATTTTGTGACTGTCTTATTAAAAAATCAGAGTGTTCCAAACTTGTTAATTTTAGATTGTAATACATTTATACATAATTTGACATTTATGAAAATATTCCCCTTAGGCTTTTATTGTAGGTGGGATCTGCATAGTAGGCACACTTCCATCATCTGTCAAATCCAGTAATGTCATAATGAGACTCAGCTACCCATTGTAAATTTTGCTTGTAAAGTGGAATGTCCACTAACCTAATATAGGTTACTACCACCAAGTCTTGCAGGTATCATATTATCTACCTTGGCTTTCATTATTGTTAATCACAATTTTCTTCTGTGTCAAAGTTATCCTTTACATCTTTATTAGCATAAAGTGTATAGGGTCACTATTTTAAGAATCTGCTTGACTTCAGCAGGTTTTATGACTGACAAGGCAGAAAAAAAGGGTTTAAGCAGATTTTATATTTGACTTTTACTAAATAGTTATCTTACAAAAGATTTACTACTTCTTTATTAATTTTAGAAAAGCCCTTGTGGCCTAAAGGTTACAAATTGAGTTGTTAACCACAAGGTCAGCCGTTTGAAACTACCAGCTGCTTGGGGAAGAAAGGCTGGACTTTCTGCTGTTGTAAAGGTAGTCTTGGAAACTCACAGGGGCAGGTCTGCCCTGACCTATTGGGTCATTATGAGTCAGATTCTACTTGATGGCAGTGAGATTGGGTTTTGTTTGATTTTAGTTTTGAGGTGAATTCAAGGAAACAGACTTGCAAATAAGCATCATACATTATGTGGAATTATAA